TATATGTATGTATGTATATATGTATGTGTATAGGTATGTACATTTGGGTATGCATGTGTGTGTATGTGTATATATGTACATGCACAAATATTCATATATTTAATAAAGCACATATCGGGCACAGTTATGGGTACTTCTCAGATATAACCAAACACCTCAAAGAGTCGGTTTTCTGGGTTTGAAGACTTACAACCATAGTCTCGTGGGACAACTTTGTCAACTGGCATAATACGGTTCCTAAAGTTTACGTTTTACATCCCAGTTTGGTGAGTAGTGTATGGGGTCTTAAAGCTATCGGTCTCTATTTGTCCAGAGCAAAAGAGAAAGAAGGAATGCAAAGACTCAGAGAAGAAACTAGTCTATCCGACTAAAAGTCTACATGAACCACAGCCTCATCTATCCCGAGACCAGAAGAACCAGATAGTGACCAGCTACCACTACCTACTGTTCTGATCAGGGCCACAATAGATGGATACTGATAGGAGAAAAATGTGGAACAGAACTCAAAATTCTTAAAAGTCCAGACTTACTGGACCAGTTGAGCCTAGAGGACTCCCCAAGACTACTGCCCTGAGATACTCTTCAAACTCTGAACTGAAATTATCCCAAGGTCACCTTTTAGCTAAATAACGGATTAGCTCACAATAATAAAGTATATTATCAGTGAATACTGCGCTCCTTTAAAAAAATCATCTATATAAGACCAAACGGTCAACAATTATTTTAACGAAAAGATGAGAAGGTAAGAGGACAGGGAAACTAGATTAGTGGAAACAGAACAACCAGAACGAAAATAACGAGAATGTTGACACATTATGAAAAATGTAACCAATGTCACTGAACAATTTGTATAGAAATTGTTGGATGGGAACGTAATTTGCTGTGTAAACTTTTACCAAAAACATGTATTTTTTTTTTTTAAATGTATACGGAAAAGCAATGGCCCAAGAATACTTCTGAAACAGAATAAGGCAGACAGCTTTTGCTGTACCAGATATCAGATTTACTATAAAACTCATAGTTAAAATAGTACTGAAGTATTAGCACAACTTAATAGTCTATAAAGCCCAGAAAAAGATTCACATATACTTGGAAACTTGACATGTGACAGAGATGACACTGTAGATCCGCTGAGAAGGATAGACTATTCAACAAATAGTTGATAACTAGATCCTTACTTCATACCATATGCAAAAATTAATTCCAGATAGCTTAAGGACTTAAATATGAAAACTAAACTTAAAAACTTTTAGGGAAAAAAAGTATTGAAGAATATCTTTGTCTTTAAGGTTGGAGAAAGTAATGGTTCAAATGTGGTATGACTTTACAAAACTGATAGTGTTTTTTAAAAAAAGGTGATTTCTTTGCTATAGGAACTTTCTTCATGGAGGGCTTGGGTGTTTGTCATAATTATCTCTGCAGCACATAACATTTACATAGTCATAATAATATAAATAGTCTTTATTGTTTAGCTTTTACAATAAAAATTTGTCAGAGCACAGATGATAATGTTGGTTACAGGACAGAAGGTAAATGTAATAAGTAAAAGTACAACTGATCAAAGCTGGGAGGCAGAGGGAGATGGAGAGGTGAAGGCAAGAATAGATACACCAATATCCTCATCTTATGCAGTAGAGATTCACGGTACATAAAACAGACGATAAAACCCAAAAACCAAACCCACTGCCGTCGTGTCGATTCCAAATTATACGGATCCTACAGGACAGAGCAGAACTGCCCCACAGGGCTTCTAAGGAGCGACTGGTAGATTTGAACTGCAGACCTTTTGGTGAGCAGCTGAATGCTTAACCACCGTGCCACCAGTGCAAATAAGTAAAAATAAAGGCAAAACAGAATCACCAACGAAGATAGAAACCACATGTATCATCTGTATCACCAGGCTTTGTTCAACCAGGATGAAGAAATTCCCAACTTTCCTCCACTTAATTCTCACAATATGCCTTATAATTGTTATCATTAAAGACGTCCATTCAAAAAAAAAATGTCTCTGAGAGAGGAGCTGGGGGAAGTGAAGAGTGAGCAGAAGATGCTTTTTGATAAACAATGTATATAGGACATTGAAGAAAAGTTAAATTTTAATTAGCATTAAAAAAAAAATCTTACACAATGGGGCTGGGTAGGTAATTTAAAGAATAAAGTCTTAGTCTTTCTAATATGGACTATTCCTCATGTTCATCTGTATTGAAACAAATACACAAGGAATATAATGGCAAATAAAAAAACGCTTTGCTTTTTAAGTCCCATGAAAGAAGTAAAAATAAAATTTTAATCAATTTAGTAAGTAATGCTTACTTAGTTCTTAGATGCTACAGGTAATTTGCTAAGCACTTTATATTCAAACTTTATTTTACAGATGAGAAAAAAGGATTTAAGTTATTTAACTTGTTCAAAGTTACCAAGATAAGATGGACCAAGGACTCAAACGCTGGTTTATTAAACGGCAGGATAAGGTGCTTCAATGTATCCTCATTGAACTTCACCTAATAAGGAAGAATAATGCTCTCTATTTAACAGCTGAATATCTATAAATGTCATAAAACTACCAAGAGGAGAAGCAAGATTTCAACCCAGGGAATATGACTTCCTGGGTACCTAGCAAAAAAAATTTTAAAAGTATAGTCACTGAAACAGTAAGTCAACATAAAGACTACCTTATGAAATGAATAAATGGCAAATGCATTTTTGAACAAGTTGATACAGATATCTAGAAGGTAGTTGGAAATACATGACTGGTACTCACATCTCATCTATTATTCAAGGGTTATAAGTTCTAAAGTGCAAAAGCCTTTGAAATCTCTTCACTGTTTTCTATCCCCAGTGGTATTACTTGGTACTACCGAAAAAAAAAACCTGTTGCCATTGGGTGGATTCTGACCCACCGTGACCCTAGACGACAGAGGAAGACTGCCCCATAGGTTTACAAGAAGCGGCTGGTGGATCTGAACTGCACACCTTTTGGTTAGCAGCTGTATCACTCAACCACTGCGTCACCAGGGCCATTATTCCTTCCTCTGGATTACTCCAACAGCTTCTTTTCTGTTCTTCCAATATAAGCAACCATCTTTAGCATTCCAGTCTTTCTATACACCCTACAAATCTGTAATTTCCACACAGTAAGTAGCCATAATAGAACTATTAAAACTGGAAATCTTAGCAATTTCACTCCTCAGCAAAAAATTCTTAAATGGTTCCCCTAAGCCCTCTAAATAAGGTTGAAAGGCCATAGCATGGCTATACTGCCCCGCATGATCTCTTGTATCATTTCTAGACATTGTCACATGTTCTCTACACTCCAGCCACATCACCATTCTGTCAGTTTATAAAGCCTACTATGTTCTCATTTGCTCCTACGTCTTTGCACGGCTTGGAAGTCAAATCATCTCCTGGTCCACATCCCTGGAGATCCCTCTTCTGTGCTCCCATGACACCCTCCTCTCCTATCACTGCACTATGAGTTTCAACTTGGCTGTGTCTCCACTAGCCTATAAATTCGATGAGGGCAAGCACCGTCTATTAGCTTGCTGCTACCATAAAACCTAGTACAATGCAGAATATTTTTAAGTGAATGAATGAGCAAGAGATCTAAGCAGAAAGTGATAATGGAAGTACTTGGAATAGATAAACTTGTCAGCAGTGAACACGGAAAGAGGACCTAGCCAAATGATCTAGAAAAGATAAACTAATGACGGAGAAAGACGAGAAGAAGGTTTGTTTGACGGCATATGATTCAAGAAACAAAGATTACGGACAATAAAGACTGAGCAATCAGTTGACAAAAAGCTTTGGTTTCAGTAGAAAGCTACACGTGGAACCTATTTATCTCATGAGATTAGGATAAAATATTGAAAAGTATTCCGTAGTCATCACTCTCTAGAGAGGCTTAACGGTACAGGAAATGATCAAAAGGATGGAAACCAGAAGAGATAGACATTTAAAGTATTTTTAAGATACAGAACAGAAATTGATGATGCAGTAAAAAACCGATCATCGATTAATCTCTTTCTCATTCCTCCTTCCTCCGTTTGGAAGGCACATTTACTACAATTTTTAAAGACTATAATTAGGTCATTAAATTTCTCTCCAAAGGTCAACTTTTCTAGTCCTCAAAACAATTTTGTTTTCTCAACATTATCTCCTGAACAAACAAGTATTTGCTAATCATACATTAGTCCTTAGAATATTTTCTTTTTTGCGTAAAATTATCAATATTAAATCCCAAATACAAATGATCTTGTTGACAACTGCACCACACTACTGTCAGAAGGCCATTGATTATGACCTTCTATCTTTCCATTAATGCCTTAAAAATCCTTTTTAAGAAGCAGCAAGGTACATTATGCAAACTTTTATTAATTTTTAAAAGTACAGATGATAAATAAATGAAAATTATTCTGTTAATTTACCTGGCAGATACGTAGACCTAGTTATTTCTTTAGTTAATATTTTTTACATTGCTCTGTAAGATATTATTTTAAACCATGGAAGCATATTTTTATTCCTTTATTTATTTAAGTACTTTGATTCAAATTAAAACTGGGCAGCTAATAATATTACTTACCATTGCCATATGGAAATGCACGTGCAGAACGACTATCATAACCAGAGGAATGTCCACTATGGAAGAAAAAATGTATTTTTATGTCTGTTTCAAGTAGGTTCTGAATTTCAGTAGTTTGGTTGCAAATACAAAACATCAAGACAAAACTACAATGACCTTTACTTACTCACCATCTACTGATAAGTTTTAATTTTATTTTTTCATAATAAAAAAATCCACTTATGTTTTTTAACCTAAAAAATATTAAACCAACATGGAGGCTCAGGGAGCTTCCTGGTTGGTGACTGTGCATGGCATAGGGTAGCATGTCCCTGTTTGGGACACAGAAGCTCTGTGCTGTGACCCCTCCCAGACCTCAACCTATTCATCTCTTCAACTGTATTCTTTTTAGTTATATTAAAGCTGTTATGGCATGCAAAGGGACCCTGGTGGTGCAGTGGTTAAAGTGCTTGGTTGCTAACTGAAAGGTTGGTGGTTCAAACCCACCAGCCACTTCACAGCAAAAAGATGTGGCAGTCTGCTTCCATAAAGATTACAGCGTTGGAAACCTTATGGGGCAGTTCTCCTCTGTCCTATAGGATCACTATGGGTCAGAACTGACTCAACAGCCAGGCGTTTGGTTTTGGTTTTTTGGTCTGAAGTGGAAGGAGTCATGTGGACCCCAAAGTGCAGCTGGTAGCCGCTGACCCAGCCCTGGTTGGCTAGGCATGTGAAGAGAGAAGGGCTGCATGGGCAACTTGGGTCTGAACAGGGAAGGGAAGCTGAGCTTTCCATAGGATACAGCTGGCATGTGGAATGGGATTTGTTATCCACCATACAATTTAGTGCCAAAAGTGGGTGATCTGAGTCACCCTGGACTGGTTTATACAACTGGTTTGCTGTGAATAGGATTTGTTAAAGGACCCTGACAATGCAGCTGTAAATCAGTAATTCAGTTCCACCAACAGAGCCAACAAATAATACTTCGTAACATTTTAACTGAGAAAACAATATGTGTTTAACAGGAACTTAATAAAATTAAATCCTGAGGCTCTCACAATTTCCTGAATTTACCATTTCTTCAAAAACCATATTCATGTTTTGATGCTATTGATATAAAGTTTTCACAATTTTTTGTCTTTTTACATCATTTGAACTGTTTTTTTTTTTTAAAGAAATACACTAGCAAGGGAAATATTCTTTAGGGCAGTATTTTAGCTAACTTAAACACTAAACACGGAGTATTTTAAAAAAAGGCCACAGCCATGCAGAACGGATCGAATCCCCTCTTTGTGAAAGCTGAGATGCAACAGGGTAGCAAAGAATAAGGCAGCTTTTCCTTATTATGGTCCCCAATAATAGTTGTACTTACCTAATCCTCAAATAGATCTCCATTATTAACGATTTCTACTTATCTAGTGAAATTTTTAGCAATCTAGGGTTTTGTTTTGTTTTTTTTAAATCAATGTGTCATAAATCGGAGCAAGGTATTATTTCAAAATACTATCATTAGTTTTCTTATGTATATAAAATTAAATCTTTGAAAACATTTCCAAGATACGTATATGATTCTTCTGTCAAAAGCCTATCAATAATCAATAATTTACAGTATCCACACTGATTTACCTTTCTATTGTTGGTATAAGAGATGGAGGTGGAGCGCCTGGTGGAGGAGGAAAACCTGAAACATTCAATCAGAAGATAAAAAAAAGTTGATAAAATGTACACGTAATGTCAAAAGAGAAATAAGGTTGCTGCGTATCACTAAATTTCTCTGGGGGCATAATGTACTTCTCTATGTTATAATGAACAGAAAAAAAATGCAGCTTAAACTTATAAACAGATTTTTGGAGCTATAAAACATTACAAAAACAATCTGGTCTAATACACAGAGCACAAACTGGGAGTCAGGACACCTGGTCTTATTTTCAGCACCACACACAGCCCATTTTATGAATATGAGAAAGTTAATCTCAATGCCTTACCTTTTCCATATATATTACGGTAGTAGTGTTGCCACTAGATATGTTATACTTGAAAAGCAAATAAAATAGCATTTACCTCTTTCAAAAATATTTAGAGAGTTTTAGATGTAGAGAAATTTCCTTAAAATGTGTAATTTATAAATAAAATCTTACCAGTAAATATATAAATGCTTAAGGCTGAGAACACACATCACAAAATAGTTTTAAATAGCACAACCCCAGAGAACTTTACAAAGAAAGGCACATAAGGTAATTTTGGGATTAGTTTAGAAAGAAAATAACTTGCACCTTTATATCATGAGGTCTGCATTCTCAGTTAATTCACAATACCTAAGTGAAATACCACAGAATAATAGGGCTAAAATGGACCGTAACAGTTAATCTACTCTACTCTTTCAAATTCAGATAGGCAATAAAGCATCCCACCAAAAGACTTTAAGACCTCTTAGATATGGTGATTCCATAACTTATGATACTACTTCCTTCTATGTTTTAACAACTCTCACTATTAGGAAATACATTACATACAATTTAAATCTCTCACACTATAATTCATATGCTGTCCTCAATGGGAACAAGAAGCATTCCACTGCCCTATTCTCTCTAACCTTTATATATTTGAAAACACTTCCCCTAAACTTCCTTTTTAGCATTCTATGTGAAAAATGAATCCCAATCCTCTCAACCCTTCTCCTAGGCTATTTAAACTCATTTTTCAGCCCTGCTTCAAACTGTTTCCAGTTCACCATGCTCACCTTCACTATAACCAATTTTAGGATCTATAACTCCTCTATTAAACATCTTACAAGTGCAAAGTAATTACATTAGTCCTAGAGCACACAATCTTATTTTATACAGCCTCACAATCACACTGCTTTTTAAACTAAAAAGACACACCAATGATTCCATTATGACTTTTCCTGGTCTTTTTTAGCCACATTCATACGCAATCAGCAACTCTCTATCCCACATCTAAATGTGTACACTATCTTATGTTATCTGAACTTCACTACTTCTGTTTATCAAGATCATTTTAAATTTAGACTCATCCTTCCAAGCACTGTCACCTTTCAGTCTCTGTCTCCTCTGGCTTTTAGCACTAAACTCAGTAAGCACACTCTCTATCACACTGTAAAAAAAAAAAAAAACTGACAAAAACATAAAAAACAACACTGAGCCAGGTATACACTCCTGTTGACCATATCCTTACAACAATGAACAATTTACCACCACTCTAAGAACAACCATCCAACCAGTTGTGAATCCATCTAATTGTCATACAGTTTAGAACACATTTTCTCACAATACTGAGTTATACCACCAGGGTTAAAATCAGAAATCATGATAATATCAAAATAGATTTTTCTCTTCTCTTGTAGTCATTTTATTGTATAAAACATTAATACAAAAATTATATTTTATATCCTATACTGTTTTCTTTACAAATTGATATGGCGAGAATTTTCTCAGAATCTCTATTTCTACAGAAATGGGTAAGACAGATATAAGAAAACTGAATGTCTTAATAAAAACTGGAATGAAGCAAAGGCAGAGCTGAAAATAGGACCTTGAAATCCCAATAGCCTATTCCATATTCTAACTGCATCAACACTGTCCTTCCTGTAACTGGAAGCTTGAAATTTCATGTTTATTAACAATGATGGAGAAAACATGAAAAAAGTTTTACCTGGAGGTGGTACAGTTATTGGAATACCTAAAAAACAAGTGATGAAATTTAATATAGTAATTGGATTTCATAACCTGTTATGTATTTATGCCATCACCAAAACAAACTTTGAAATAAAACCCCTGGCCTATTCACTGGAGAGAATCATTGTTTTCTTGCAGACGACCAACAATTCCAGTATAACATCTGACTTCCCTGATAAGAACTAACAACTTGATAACATATAGTTCCCCTACTAGCTGTAATCATAGATGAAGTTAGAGACAAGTTATAAAGCACACTTGTGCATACACAAATATCAAACCCCATTAACACTAACTAAATGTGATAACCAATGTCCGATATTATTCCTAAAAATATATACTTATATTTTAACATTTTAGTAGACATACTGATCAGTGGGCTCTTTAATACTACAGGTAGAGCAAGATAACTGAAGATGATGGCTACCATTCATTTTTGTAAAGCTCATCTGGATCGTTTTACTGTGGTCAGCAGAAGTGAGGGAAAGTTCAGGTTTCCCTTGATTTGGGGGAGTACAAAAAGGGGTATAGCCAATTCATATACAGACACCTCCAGGACACACAAAGTTTACTTCTACAGGTGTCAATAAATACTAATTTGAGTGACTCTTACTATTTGTGTATATTATAAACTTCAAGAACTATATATAAACATTTTCAATTCACATTGGTCAAATGTGCCCTAAATCCTAATGTGAAATTTACCAATAGATGTTTACTAAACACTAAAACCAAATTCAGCATTTTAAATTTAAGAGATGAACAGAAAAAATTTAGAAACAACTTTTTCATGAGACGTTCTTTACCATACATAACTTCAACACAGTCAGAAAGGTTTACTAAATCCTATCTAAGAAACTGCATCAAAATTAGTCCCAAAAAGGAAGAAATAATCTAATTCATTAACTAAATGCATGGCAAAACATAATGAAAAAAGAATCACTTTCAAATTTTTTTTTGCTCAATGGAAACATCTGCTAATTATTTATTTAGAAATTTTCCAATGTGCAAGTCTTGCCAGAATAAGAGGTTTAATAAAAAAAAATCAGAAGGCAGCACACGGCCTTAAAATAGACAGAAGCACCTGATTTAACCACCCATGCAATAAAAGGATATGCTAAGCTTATAAAATCAACACAACTGAAAAAGATATGTAAAGCAGCCATCATGTTTCAAAAATCATTAGGCCCCCAAATGAGTCTACTAAACTGACCCACAGTTAATGGCAATTCTCAACCTCCTTGAGGTTATTTTGCTGCTTCCCAAGTCACTAAGCTAAAAGAATCCAGCAAACAATACAAGCTAGCAGAGTCCCACAAACACCAAACTAAATGGGAAAATGAAGAATGGCAGAGAATATTACATATTCTTAGTATCTACTAACTGATTTCCTTTAGAACAGTAAAGATTTTTTTAGAATACTACTGAGCTTCACTGTTTGATCTAGTTTTCACATTTAAATAAATGATTTTTTTGGCATATAAAATAAAGCACCACATCAAAATCAACCCCTATGCTATACTTCTACTAACTTCACCTAAATGAGTACACAAGCAGTATGCATCACTTCAGCTAATGCTTCACTACAGCTTACTAAAATGTGAATTCATACAAAATAACTAAGAAATTACTTCAAAATTTAGTCCTCTAAAACTCCGTGAAACATTCACAAAACATAAAAGACATACGACCAAATTATTAAGTATGCTATGAAGGCAGTCAAAAAAAGCCTGCCTTTAATTTCAATCTTACTACAGTAGTTATCATAGGACAGATTATTACAGGGAAAAAAACAAACAAACAAACAAACTGGAAGGAATTAAGAACACAAAGGGAAATCATGCTCTACAGATAGATACCTCTCCAACTGATATCTATACATCAGAAAGTTTGTCATGGAAAGTAGAAAGGGCCCTTCTTGTGAGACCTCTACTTCATCTACATTATTTCAATGCTCTTCTTTATCAGTAAGTGTCCTGAATCAGGACTATAAAGTTGATGAAGTGATACAGAATCAATTCTTTGACAATGATCAAATGTATTTTCAAACTGCAACTGAAAAAAATTAATATGCGATATAATGTAAGGCCAACATCATTCTCGTCTAAAAATCACTATTTAATGTTTGACTTTTATTAACTAAGAAAGAAAATTCATCAAAAATCCCCGTCCTCTAACTCAACAACCCCACCTAACTGGACAACACACACGCTGCCCAACCAACAGACTTGAAATACATAAGTATTTTGTTCCTTTTCTGTATCCATTATCTGTAAAACACACAAGAAAAAAAAAAAAATGTTTATTTTCCTGAAAACTCCTGGATAACAGTAGTAAAAGTAAGATTGCTAGTATTGGCCAAAAGCTTTTGGAAAAGTAATATTCAAGTTCTAATGGGGATGAATAAACTAGTGGTTCTGAAACTTTAGAGTACATGTGAACCACCTAGATGGTTTGATATTATACACAGATTTCTGGGCCCCACCCCTAGAATTCCTGATTCAGTATGTCTGGGGTGGGGCCTGAGAATCTGCATTCCTAAGGTTTCCAAGAGATGGTGATATGTTGCTGGCCTGGGGACATTCTTTGAGAACCACTGGAATAGATTCTAAACTCTCCAAACTGCACTACTGAACAATTCAGTACAGATGAAATAAATTCCATCCCAAATTTTTATGAAACAAATAAGAGCATCAACCTGTGAAACTTAAGGGTAAAACAGTGTAGCTGTATGACAGCCTATACCATCTGGCATTCTCAAAAGAGAGACACTAGAATTTAATTCTTCTAATATGTAATGGTATACTCTTAAATGTAAACAGTTGTGGGGAGGGATCTGAAATCCTATTCGGGGAAATGAAGGAATTCAGGCAAGACAACAGGCAGCAGTTCTACTAAAACATCATATATAAAAGAATTTACCTATATTTAAAAAAAATTCCCATAAAACAGTGGGTTCTGGCACTCACAAAAAATTTAAAAACTG